TGTTAAATTGAACTAATTATTTTGTTTGTTTTCTTCGGATGTCCTTCTCCATCTTTTTGCGAACATGTAATAATGTGTACTCTTTCTGTCGTTCTCATACCTTTCTCTTAATCAAGTTTTTCTATATTATTTACTCGATATATGCTTCGCACACGCATGACAAGAAAAGTTTGTAGATAAACTGCGTAACATCCTGACAATTCATCTGAACAAATGAAGAAGTTTGCAAAAACTCTACTTGGAAACCCCGGTCTACTTTTTGCCGGTATTCCATTGACGAAGGAACGTATTGAATTTTACTACAATCAATTGATAAATCTGTTTAACATGTGCACGGTGGACGATAATAATAAGTGTGTATTCGAACGTGTTATAAAATGTTGTTTGACTACGAAAGAACAGCTTTTGAATGAATTAGAAAAGCGTGTAAATAATTTACGCTATTTGGATTATTGTCGATACGAAGGAGATAAATTGATGAGGGGAGCGGAAGAAAGCAAAATTAAAAAAGTACAATTAGCATTGGCGTTGTATGAGCAATCCAGAGCAGCAGTACGAACATTAGATAAAAACGGACGCATATCTGAAATAGTTGATTTGAGAAAATGTATGGCAAAATCACTTATTTTGGCTGACGAATTTAAATGTTCATTGTCAGCTCAAAGCTGTAGAAATAAGAAGAAATTACTTTAGGACTTTTCTTGTAAATTCTGTAACTTTGTAAAGAAAGGTCGTGTAGAGCTGGGAGACGTCTCATTTTAATCAGAAATGTACGGGCTATATGAAGAAGCTGAGCTCTATGCTCTAGCTGCAATTTCAATTCTTCTAAAAACTAATGAAGAAAGCAGCTCAAGTGTTGGAATAAAAGCTCTAGAAGATTTGGTAAAACTGTTGAAAAGTCTACAAGAAAAGTCTAATGGTCGAATATTGGACGATCCCATAGAAATGATGGAAAAGGATAATAATAAACTACGGAATTATTTCGATTGTAGAATTCGTAATCTAATACTTGCACAATATTTGTCCAGCGCAGTGAAAGGTGAACAGAATCTGGATAAGTCGAAAACGGTTGAAAAATACCCAACAATTGCTTCATTTAAACATCTTGAAATACCGACAATGTCGTATGCATTTGAAATTGGCATAAATGCTCAATTGTTGAACATGGATGGAATGTTCCCATCTCTCATTATTGAACGAATGTTAAATGATCCATTCCTGAGCAGTTATGCACGAACACATTTTCCTAATGCCATTGATAAATTGGAAAAAGTTCCCTCGCGAAGTTATGCATGGCGAACACATCAACCGCTCCATCTGATCACCCCCGACATCATAGCGATCCACAGTGGGCAACTAAGCGGACATTAGGCCAAAAAGTCGATTTCGAGTGTTTTAAAAAATAAATAGTCCAAAATGTAGCCCTTTAAATTCTCTATCCAATGGTGTATAAATGTCTATTGTGAAA